TAAAATTTCCATTTTTGCTTTAACTACATAAGTTTAATATCTGAGCTTAACTCAGTGTCGGAAAATGCTTTATTCCTGTGGTTAATAAACACCATGATCGTCTTTCTTCATTTGTATTCCTGTGGTTAATAAACACCATGATCGTCTTTCTTCATTTGTTTTCCGTAGTGGGTTTGTGTGAAACCACAAGATTATATTTTCCACCTTTTATATATATACAATTTTACACTTTGTCCTTCATTGTTCAAACATTTGATAATTAGCCCTAATATCCGAATGTAATTCGGGATTTTGAATATTTGGTCATTTTATATTGATGTTTAGCAAAATGGATTACGACCCAATTTTAAACTGGAATTGCAGAAACGCAGACCCAGCACCAGAGGAGTTCAAAAGAAAGCTGCCCCTCAGGAAGAAACAACGGAAACCTCTAGCAGTTCAATCTTTGTCAATGGACGACGGGTTAAATAAGAACCCTCGCAATTTTCCTAGTTTAACCCAAAGATTGGAGCTGCAGAAGTGCAGAGAAACCAAATTGGATCCGGAAAATCCAAAATATATAACGAGTTTAAAGTACTCAATAAAGGAAAATTTTAACAGATGGAAACTGCCATCGTTCATTGAAGTCGTTAACTCAACGACAATGGAAAAGGCGATGATGCCTATCGACTTCATAACCCAGCCAGAAGGGGTTATAAAGAACAAAAACAACTTCTGGAAATTAAAGAAGAGGGAGGAACACGGCTACATCCTCAAGGCAGGAGGCACGCAAGTCACCATTCCGTTCGAGGGAATAACTGCTTTTCCGAACCATGTAAAAAACAGACAGGAAGAACAGGACGACATTCAACAACTTACGGACGGAATGAGCAGACTACGAATCAAAAACAAAATTAAAAAGAAGAAAATCGTGAAGTTGCAACAAAAACTTGAGGCTTCACAGAGGAAGATAGCGATCCTCAGATCATACAATGTGGAGCTAGAAGCCGGAAGGAAGCTCTAGATAAAACCTAACCTATCTTTTCAAACTTTTCATTTGATGTTCTTTTTAAATTTTTTAACTATAGTATTTAACCAGTAAAGTGTTTAAATTTTCACCATGGTAACTGTAAGAATCGAACAGCTTAATTTTCTAAAAAAAGGGGTGAGTTGTAGTATTGCAAAATACTACACACACACAAAAGACCATTGTCTTAATTGTTTATTTAACGACCCAATTCTAAATTGGAGCGTGCCATTTAAATTAAAGCCTCTTTTCATTAAATCAGATATTGACTGATTTACTCTTATTAGGACTATAAAATCTTGTTTTGAAAATCCACTCCTTTTTAAATACTTGTCCAATTTTTCTCATTTTTTCATGCTCAATATTTTAAAAGAGCGGCGATTATTAATACGTCCCTTTTAACTTAACTTGAAACAAACTGGATAAATATTTAGCAGTCTTGCCGGCTGCACTGAAATTCTCCTTGCTTTGATTAAGCAGAGGTGCACCTGCAATATGATGCATCAGAGAGAGTAATATGAATTTTTAATCAGACAAACTGAAGGCTGCGGTTTTTATCAAAGGGGACTAATAAGTTGAAGATATTTGATTTGAAAAAATCAAACAAAAACTAGTTGAAAATTCCCTTATTAAAAAGGGAGAACAAAGGAGCAGGTGAAACCTGAATAATTAAAGATTGAATCAGCCGCCGGTTTATGCTTACGAGCAAAAGGACTGGCCTGAAATCTTCAGTGTTTCATTTTGCTCAGTCAGCAGCAAGTCATTTCTCTTCAGTCAGATCTTTTAAAAATAAATAATTTTTCTTTTCTGCCCTAACACTAAAATTAATCTAGCCCTTTTCATTTTTAAAAAGAGAATAAATTCTCATCTTAAGTTTGATTTTAAAAATTATAAATCGAGATAATCGAGATACGCACCCCCGAGGAAGTCTGGACTACAAGTACCCAAAGGACTACGGCAAGACGATCCAGACGACCCAACCAGAAGTGCTGACTTGGACAAACATCAAGGGCAACCATACATACTAATCAGCCACCGACCTTAGTAAGAAGATAAAAAAATGATGAACAAAATAAGATTAGCTCAACCTCCCCTCATAGGTATATTTCTTTAAGCTGTTCGATTCGTTTATATAATCTAATAACCCAGTGCTTTGTATCCAACCAACTAATTAATTCATACCTTTTCTAACTATTGTTTCTACTCTACTTTTTGTCAAGACAATTTGACGATCTAAGGTGAGACTTATAAATTAGGATAAAATTACTAAGCATTGAACCAGCAATGAGCGCTTAGTAAAATTGGAATAAGCGGTAGCACACTTATAACGAACAGCGAGTTATGAATGCATCAGTTATAAATTCTTCGGTCTGCGTATCTTTTTTAAGACCGCGGGATTTATAAGACATGGTCAATATCAAAATGATTGATGCCTGCAAACAACCCAATTCCGCACAGGATTTGCCCACGGCCTCAAGGGTAATGTGCACCCCAAGCGCCGCTGTCATATTACCCCATACACAGTGAACAATTCAACAACAAAATTATTTCATACCCATCCACCAAAATTTTTTGTGCACTTCAAGGAGAGAGAGATAAAATAACAAGCACCTCTTAAACTGAAATAAGTTCTCTCTCCAGTAAAAAGTTTGTTTTATGCTTTTTGGCAGCAAAAGTACAAATTAGAGTTTTTACTGAGTAGATCTGCATGCAATATTACCATTTCTTTTTGGGTATAATTTTAGTTACACTTTTTCTCCAAATTTGTTTCGCAATCAAGAGCAGAGCGCGCGGGGAAGAGAGTTTTAAAAAAGGGGATTAAAAAAGGAGGCAGAACTAATTTGGGCAAAAGTCAAAAGGGGCTTTGAGCGTGAAAAGAGCTCACTGAAGATGATAAATGAACTGTAAAGTGTTGGTCTGTTGTACAATAACCAAAATAGGAAAACCTTCAGCAGCTCCGTATGCTCTTTTCCTTTGTAAAAAACTTGAGGCCACGTGTTCTTTTGCTCCTAAATGTATGGCAAAGAAATAGCAACATTGCAAACTTACATAAACAATCAGAAACAGTTTTTAAGCTGCACACACTGCAAAAAAGACTGGATAATAACAAAAACTTTTTATTACGCCAGATCAAAAAAGAAAAAATAGTAAAAAAAAAAACACTTAAAAAGAAATCATAAGTAGACTTTTTGAATTCACATCCAATCATGAAAGATCTTGATAATCTTCGTCCAAAGGTTCCCTTAAAACCGTCTAGCTTTCGCGGCGCAATTCATTCAAGTACAATGATAGGAAATGATGGTCTTATTTAATGTTCGAATCCTTTTTCATAGTAAAGGTTTTCACTATCATCAAAATTTGTTAAACTTTTAACAAACAAATTTATTTGTTGCAATAATTTTAAATAAACGAGTATCGTTAAAAAGTATACCGGTTTTACTTCACCACCATCTGTATTTAAAGTTTTTTGCGCGTTTGAAAACAGGCTTAATTTGTTTAATGGCGATCTACCAAACTGTGTTCTTTTAAAATGATTAAATATAAAAATTAGTTTGATTAATATGGACCTATACTAGGATCAATTTATTACAAGTACTGTATTAAACGCAAGGCCGATAATATCCAGGCAAAAACCCGAATAGTTCAACTGCCCTTTTGCCCGTAAGTGTCTAAAAATAGGATTTGCTTTTAAAAATTAATTCCAATTCTACCACCCCTATCCACCCTTCGCAAATTTTCTATTTTCATAATCCTTATATATCTACCGCTATTATGGCAGAATAGGCGATTATTTTGTTAAAAGGTATGAAAATCAAAACTGTTCAGAACAATTATTTTGTTCACCACCCCGGAATTTTTTTAAAATGGACATTCAAATGGGGAAGCAAGGATTGAGTTGCCACTTATGCTTGAATACCGCAAAATATAAAGCGCGCTGATTAACTCATACGGAGCCCCCGTTGTAATGTTTGATTCTAGATGCCTTCGTTAAATATTTTGAGGAAGAATAAAGATTTGGTATATTCGGCAGTCATAGTAAAATAAGCAAATTGAAAAACATTTTTTATAGAAAAGTTACTTAAGAAATGCCAAAAAAAATCAATTTTTTTTCTTCAAGTTTTGCAGTTTTTTGAAGTTTTGAAAATTTTGTTTTCAAAAAGTCGCTAAAATGCACAAAGTAAACTAACATTACTCAATTAAAATAAAAATACTCTTTTTAAAACTAACATTACTTAAGATAGTCATTTGAAGACTACGGTTTAGAATGTTTTTTTTCCAAATTTGTGTAGTTTTTATGCTTGGTGTGATAAAAGGATCTGACGTAAAAACATAATTCAGGCATATTAGACAGTCAGAGTAATATAGGCATATTGCAAAAAAATGTTTTTAGAAAAATGACTACAAAAACTTGAAAAAATTTTAAAAAAAGTTTCAAACTATTTCTGCAAAAATTTTTGATTTTTTAAAATTTTTGATTCCCAAAAAGAAGTTGAAAAACTTCAAAAACTAGTCTTAGATGCTTAAAATTAACTTTTAAGGGCTTCAATTTGGCATAATTCAGCATGTAATTCTACACGCTCACGCCATATTAGTTCGAAACTAGACAGACCAAAAATCAAAAAGCTTAAGCCGGTTTTTCTCGACAATGGGAAAATTTCTGAGAAATTTTTAAAAATCGTTAGAATCACGACTGAAAGGGCTTCAGTATGATATATCACCCAAACCAGTCCGATGATTATTTGTGGTACCTGATTTTGTGTGGAAAACAAAAAGAAAAAAGAACTAAAACACACCCGAATACAAAGTTCCTCCCCTTTTTTCAAATCGTCGGAACAATTACCTTTAGTTTGAGTAAATGCTGGTGGTCCAGCCACAAATCAGGTTATTAATGTCATCATTGTATAATTATACATTTAAAAAGTTAAATTTATTTTTTCGATTTAATGCAAACTCAAAGTCAGTTAAGACAAAGTCAAAACTAGAACCTCCCTACCTTGGCCAATTTGGAGTGCTGCGGTTGGTTGAATAGTCTCCAAACCTCAATCTGAAAGACCTTGAACTTATACCTCCTCTCCTGCAACTCGTCAGCTGTCACTCCAAATTTAGCGTAGAACTCCCTCTGTTCCTCTTCGTCGAACTCGTCATAGCCGTCTATCTTCTGAGCTTCTAGAATGTTCCGAGTCTCTTCTGCGTCTCTGTGACGAGTGTAGGTCATCCAGCAGCAAGGTTC